CCCCCTCCTCCTCCCTCATCCACCTCCTCCACCCTTACTCCACCTCCCACTCATGCTCCTCCCCTTGCCCCCACCCTCGTTTTCAACTTCGTCGCTCTCAGGGTCGGCGGCACCGGCCGTAAGGCCTTCGCAATATCGAACAGAACCCTTGTCGTCGCAGTTGGGCCTCCACCGTATTGATTGAATCCAGAGGAAATTTCGAACGAGGGCGCCGTTTTTGACTTCGGGGGCTTTCCTGGCCAGGAGCTGTCGGATGGAATATCGGGCAGGAGGCCTTGTCGTCGTGGCTGGGCCTCCGCCAAGTTGGTTGAACTGAGGGACGTCTCGAGCGAAAACGCCGTTCCTGAGTTCGGGAGCCTCTCAGGCCAAGGTGTTTTGGGTAAATTGTGCAGAGATGTCGAAAGGGAGCCGTTGTCGTCGCAGCCGGGCCTCCAAGGGCACACGTGTACACTTAAGCCAACGCTCGCGCGGGAGCCTCGTTTTTACAGAAAATGTAACTGGCGTCGAGGCGAGAGCGCGTGGAGCTTTCTCCGGATATCAACACTCACTATTCACCAGAAGTGAATATTCAACAACAGCAACACCAACAACAACCATTTTAAGACTGTTCGTTCGTACTGGAACGCGTGTTTTACGTGTTGTATGCCCCAATTTTCGATACCCGCCCGTTTCGTATTCGATCGCACGCCCTTTCGGGAGTAATCTTGTCCTCGTCGGCCACTGACTGCAGCGCGAGGAACTCTTGAACGAGACCGCCGTTCCTGACTTCGGGGGCCTTTCTGGCAAGACCAGGGGCTCTCATAATACATATGGGGAAATATCGAACGGGAACCCTTGTCGCCGTGCCTGGACCTCCACCAACTTGCGCGAAATACGATATAATCTTGAGCGACAACGCCGCTCTTGAGTTCAGGGGCCTCTCTGGCAAGGGCCTCTGTGAGCACATCTGGAGGAAATATCGAACGAGAGCCCTTGTCGTCGTAGTTGGGCCTCCACCAATTTGACTGATCCCAAGGAAGTTTCGAGCGAAAGCGCCGCTCCTGAGTTCGAGGGCCTTCCTGGCCAGGAGCTGTCGGAGTAAATCGTGGGGAAATATCGGGCAGGAGGCCTTGTCGTCGTGGCTGGGCCTCCGCCAGGTTGGTTGAGCTGCGAGGACGTCTCGAGCGACAGCGCCGTTCCTGAGTTCGGGAGCCTCTCAGGCCAAGGTGTCTCGGGGTAAGCCGTGAGGAAGTATCAAGCTTGAGCCGTTGTCGTCGCAGCCGGGCCACCAAGGGTGCACATTTGCACAGGAGCCAGCGCTCGCGTGGGGGCCTCGATTTCGAAGAAGATGTAGCATGCGTCGAGGCGAGAGCGCGCGGAACCTTCTCCGGATATCAACCGTAATAATTCTCTAGAAGTGAATGTGTGTGCGACGACAACAACGACGACGCTCCGGCTCGATGCGTCCTCCTTTCTCACTCGGGGCCAAAACTCTTGCTCGCCCCCCAAAGCCGCCTTTCCAACAAAACCAGCGCTCCCGCTTGATATTTCCCAGCTCTTCCCCTCAGGGCCGACGCCCCCGCCGTGGGGCCCCCTGCAGACAGCGACGCTCCCGCTCGATATTTCCTCCGCCTTCGCTCAAGACTCCCAGGAGGCCCTGAGGCTTCCTTAATCCCTGTTGAACCTCAGCGCATGAACAGTTGCTATTGCTGGGCACCCTGAGTGCGCTTTTGCGCTCTCGCGCCTGCTACGCGCGACCTCGCTCTCGCTCGTGTCTTGGGCGTGGCGTCGTCGCCGTCGTCGCCGCCGCCGCCGTCGCCTTCGCCTTCGCCTTCGCCTTCGCCGCCGCCGCCGTCGTCGTCGTCGTCGCTGTCGTAGCTAAGCAATGATTATTGTGGGACACCCTGAATGCGCTTTCGCGCTCTCGCGCCTGCTCCGCGCGACCTCGCTCTCGCTTGTGTCTTGGGGCGTGGCGTCGTCTCCATCGTCGTTGCCGGCGCCATCAGGAAGCGGCCGACGCACAAGCGGTCCCCGGGAAGGGGTCGAAAACCCAGGGGCCTAATCTCTGAAACTTCTCTCAGGGGCTCTGGGGGCTCTCCACAGGGCTCTCCCAAAGGTTGTGAGGCCTCTCCCTATGGTCTTCGGCCAATCAAGCTTCGTGCTACCTTGAAGCAGGGCGTGGGCAGGGGGATTGCGAAGGCGATGTGCCATCCGGGCTGGGAATGTAGAAGCGTCTCGGAAAAAGGTGTTGTGACGACCTCCTCGGGCGGGAGATGAAGGAGAAGGAATTTCAGACCCCCGTGTGCAAGAAATAAATAACACGTCCCCATGAGAAAAAAAGAGCTATCATGACGGATTCATGCTGCATGCAGAAGCATAGAACATCCGGGTAAAATGATTGTTGTTATTGTCGTCACTTTTGAAGAGTAAGTATTGTTGATCCCCCATCCGTTGCGCAGTATATTCTTTCAATTGAAACGCCCCGCCCTGGGCTCGCGCCCTGTTTTTGGCAAGAGAAGGCCTTGAGGATCAAAATGGCCACCTGGCCCCGAGTTGCAACAACAACGGTTCCCGCCTGATACCCCCCCACAGTTTATTGGGAAATCGCGTTTTCGCGCGGAACTTTCTCACATGTGGGACTTCCTGTGGATTTATTCAAGCGCCGCGCCCCCGATGTTCAATAATCGTTTTCTCTCATTTGTTTTTTTCGCGATGAACTTGGGGATTGCACTATCGCTCGAAACCATCTCGCGATGCATGCATTATTCACGATTCAGCAACCCGCCTGCTCGACCTGGCCGCCTGGGCCCGCCTTCGCCCGCCCTTTAGGGTCTACACGCCCGACCTGCCCGTCTGGTTCTGCCACGCGTTTTCGGTTGTAGGCCCCCCTCATGCTAATCCCGTGCCCCATCCTTCTCCCTCCCCTTTCCATATGTCCTCCCTTCCCCTGTCCGAGGGCCTGGACCAATTACGCGCGGCAGGCAAGACACATATGCTCCCAGGGGGGTACGATCGAAGACAAAGAAGGCGGACATCGAGGGCTTGGGATATACGTGCTGAGGTACGCGAGCAAGTAAGGGCGAGCAGTCTCAAAATGCTTGGCTTCGTCGTCGTCCTCGTCGTCGCCGTCGTTGTTGTTGTTGGTGGTGGTGTTGCTCTTTCGTAAGCCAGGGGGCAAGGGCTTGATCTCGGGCGCAAGCCTCCCCCTACAATGGGTACCAAACATGGGGGGGCCAACAATAATTACATGAGAACGCGACGCAACAGCTATCCGCACCGCGGAGCCCCACTTCAGCCACACGTCCAGGGACAACGGATATCCGAACGGCCCCTCCTATTCTGATGAATCCGCCACCGTGCCCCCTGGCACGTTGAGGCGTGGAAAAATTCTTAAGTCTGCCTGGTTGGGTTCTTGCAGTGTAAGGAGAGGCCCCCCTCCCCCTACTCGCGGGCTGTCGTGTGCATCCCCCCTGTTCACCGAAGCCACTTCCCTCGTTCCCGCTCGGGGATGGTGCGCTGCAAACATGGTAGTTCATGTTCGAACCCCTATTCCACGCGTGCCCACTCGAGGGTGGTGCACTACCGCGTGGCAGCTAAGTCCTTAACTCTCACTCCACGCGTGCCCGCTCGAGGCTGGTGCGCTCCCCGCATGGCAGCTAATGGCTGGAACCTCGTTTCACGCGCGCCAGCTCGAGGATTGGGTGCTTCCCGCGTGGCTGCTACCTCCTAGGCCCCCCATCCCACGCGCACCCGCTCGAAATCGTGCACTTCCCGCGTTGCCAGCCGCTGCTCCTGAGCGCCCCTTGGCCTCCCGAGCCACAACCCCTTGAAAAATACTGTGGATATGCGCGCCCTTTCAAGACGGCCCGCGCAGACCACCAAAGACACCAAGAGGGCCTGAAATGCATCGAAAACTGCCCAAAATGGCCCCAAGGCGGCCGAATCGTGATGCAAGACGGCCCAGCATGGCTCCTAGAGGGCCCTACATGGTCACAAGAGAACCTCCAACAGGGTCCGAAGAAGGCAGAACCATTGATTCTGTGCGTGTGTGTGTGTGTGTGTGACTGATTTTCGCATCCTCGCCTCTTCGGGCTGCCGTCAGCTCGTGGCGGCCCAAGAGGATTCCACGATGGCCCAGAAGGCATCCAAGACGGACTCAAAAGGGCCTCAGAAGACCGCCCGTGGCACCCAATGCGGCCTGAGAGGCCCTTCGACGAACCCAGCGGCCCGAGACGGCACCAAGCCGGCCCCGCGACGGTCCCCAGGCACCCACCATGCGGCCAAGACGGCCCCAAGATGGCCCCGAGGAGCCCTCAAGACTGCCCCACAGGAGGCCAAGAGAGCCCCCAAACGGACGAGACGAGTTTCCTTATCATCATCATCATCATGATCATCATCATCATCATCATCATCATCATCATCAGCATCATCATCATCGCCACCATCATCATCACCATTATCGTCATTGTCAGGATAACCGTCCCCGACATGTCGTGCTCGTTCCCCCTCGGGCCCGCAGTGTCTGGGACAGGTCGCTCCTGTCTCACTCGCAGCTGCTGCGGCATGCGGCGGTGTGCAGCAACACTCGCCTCAGTGCACTGCGAGGTCCAAACTGGTGCTGCATGCCAGCGTGACCGGCTCCCCGCCTGTGCCCACGTAGACGTTGATTGTTTTTCGACAGCCATGCGACCATGCATCCTTCTTACCATCATCACCATCATCATTATCATCATCATCATCATCATCATCATCATCACCACCATCATCATCATCATCATCATCAGCATCACCATAAACATCATCATCAGCAACAGCATCAGCATCATCAGCATTATGAAGCATCATCAACAACATCATCATCACCATAAACATCATTATTATCATCATCATCCTCATCACCGTAAACATCAGCACCGTAATCAGCATCATCATCATCATCATCATCATCATCATCATCATCATCATCATCATCATCATCATCATCGTCATTGCGGGCCACCCCTGCTGCCAGGCTCCCGCGCCTGGGGCCCGGCCACCGCTTCCGCAGCGTCAGCACCAGCTCGGGTATCTGCGCCCCGGTGCTCATCTGCATGCTGCCCTGCAGCCAGGACGGTCCGCGGGGAAGGGAATCCGCGCACCGTCGGAGGAGAAGATCTCAGACGCTATGGTCCAATCACATGGGAAATATTTCGACTGCTCTGAGTCACTTGGGGAACATTTACTCCGACTGCTCCAAACTGCTTGGGCAACGCTTCGACTCCACCCCTGGCGCAAGCTTGTCGGGGGCTGGGCTCCAGTAGCCGGCCTTCGACAGTGCCTCACGTTCGAGGGTGGGAACAGATGCGCACGGCGACTCCTGCACGGCCCAGTCACGTGCGGTCATCTGGAGGTGCATGACGCTGTTAAAACAGGGCTAGGATCGGGATAAATCGCTCCAGAGCGTTCTGGAGCGCTCTGAGAGCGTTCCGGAACGCTCTGGAGCGGCCGCGGCGCCCAATACATCCTCCAAACCCGCCGATTCTCAGAGATTTCGAGTTATCCCGATCCGATTTTGTCCCGATCTTCGCGTCGTTTTAGCCGTGCTCCCCCCCAATTAGCCCGAGCGTCCTGACACCGCCGCACGAGAGCAAGGCCGCAGACGCCTGGCGACCTTCCCTGTGGCTTTCTCGGGGCGCCCAGGAAGTGTCCCCTGCCGGCCCCGAGGTGACACCCCTGTCGCCAGGCTGCGACGTCTGCCGTCGCGACAAATACAACGTCGCGAACAGAAACACGGCCGCGTCTCTCGACCCAACCTGCCGCCCGATGTTTCGAACCGGACCGATTCGCGAGGGCTCTGTTTTTCGTCGTGTGTTTTGTCGGCGACCCCCGCACGTCAGGGGATCGTCGGACGATGGGTACCAGGACCTGGGGGAGCTGAGGGGCAACGTGAGGGGGGGAAACAGCTCAGAGGGGAAAACATCGACTTGGAATCGGCGACAGATCGCCGATAGATGGGCGATGAGCCCCCGATATCTAATCTGCACGCTCCTGGACAGGGTGGGCTGTCGGGCCCCTATCGACGACGAATGTGCGATGAGGGGTCGAAGCGTCCCCTCCTGAGATATTAGGTGGTGACCTGGAACCCCCAAAATGTCACCGCCGAGTTTTGGGACACGGGGTCGCCACTGGGTTTTGTGACTCCTGGGCCCACCAGCGTTCGGAAAATCCTAGAAAAACCAGACGTGCCCCCAAACCGGGTGGTGACTCAAAATCGCCCCAGACTCACCGCTGGGTGTTGTCACCACCACGTTTGGGGACTACGACAAAACCGCGGAGAGCCGTCGAGATCGCCGGAAGACCTCGAACCTGGAACCCCGCAGCCCACCTCCCCCTCACTCGGGGGCGCGCAAACATGGATTAGCGATCCATGGATTAGGCGCGCGGTCGCCGAATCCATGGATCGGGGGAGGTGTTCTCACACCAACATGCGGCCGGTGCCGCCTCGCTCGGCGGCGAAAAGCCGCGCTTTCCCCTATGGAAAAGGGACCCGTCGCTAATCCACGCCCCCGCAACCCATGTTTTGCGATCGCCTGAGTTTGGGGACTACGACAAAACGGCCGTCGAAATCGCCGGGAGACCTCGAACCTCGAACTCTGGAGCCCACGCATGCAAACCCCCCTCACGTTGCCCCCGACGAGGGGCCCCGGGATCCCCCCCAAAGCGCTCTCGGGGCGAGGCGTATAGCCGCACGGAGGCACCCTGAGGCGGGGGAGCCGCCGAGAGAAACGCCGAACACGGCCGCGAAGCTCGAACCTCGAACCCCGTGTGGTTGACCCAAGAGGGGGTCCAGCTGAAAGGGGGTGGTGCAATAGGTTTGGGGCAACTGCATTGCAAATGTGTTGCGCCAGAGAGTTGTATTGCATTGTACACTCAAAACTTATGCTAAGAAATCTTCCAGTAAGAAATTGAGACCCAGCTTCGCTGAATTTCTTAGCCCCCTTGCGAGAGCCAGCTTTGAAGCGTGCAATTTCTTAGCGCAGCGCGACGCCAGTGTGGGTGATTCCGATGAAGATTGTGCCGGTGATTGTGCCGATTGCGGCGCCGGGGGCTCTGCAGCAAACAACATACAGGAACACGTCAAGATCTGGGCGAGGATCTGGATGGTGATCTGGGGGAATATCCAGGGGAACAGCCAGAGCAAAATCCCGGAGGCAATCTATGGAAATCTGTAGGAAGATCTGCGGGAAGATGCGGAGGGAGATCTGGAGAAATATCTGCAGGAACATATGGAGGGAGATCTGGGGGAGTATTTGCATGAACGCACGGGGAACAAGCTAGAGGAAGATCTCGATGAAGATATGGAGAAGGATCTGCGCGAAGATCTCGAGGAACCTCTGGAGGAAGATCTGGGAGGAAGATCTGGGGGAAGATCTGGAAGAAGATCTGGATGAAGATCTGGAGGAACATCTGGAGGATGATCTGGAGGAAGATCTGGAGAAAGATCTGGGGGAAGATCTGGAGGAAGATCTGGAGAAAGATCTGGAGGGAGAGCTGGAGGAAGATTTGGAGGAAGATCTGGGGGAAGATCTGGAGGAAGATCTGGAGAAAGATCTGGAGGAAGAGCTGGAGGAAGATTTGGAGGAAGATCTGGACGAAGACCTGGAGGAAGATCTGGAAGAAGATCTGGAGGAAGATCTGGAGGAAGATCTGGAGGAAGATCTGGAGGAAGATCTGGAGGAAGATCTGGAGGAAGATTTGGAGGAAGATCTGGGATGAAGATTTGTGGGAAGATCTGGAGGGAAATCTGGAAGAAGATCTGGAGGAAGAGTTCTGGAGGCAGATCTGGAGGAATATTTGGAGGAAGATCTGGAGGAAGATCTGGAGGAAAATCCAGAGGAAGATCTGGAGGAAGATGGGAGTGGATATGGGAAAAGATCTGAAACGACGATATGGGAAAATATATTGAGGAATATCTAAAAGAAGATATTGGGATTCATGAGAAGGAAGATCTGGAGAAAGATCGGACGAGATGTGTCAAGATATTGATGAGGATCTGCGGGGAGATCTAAAGGAATATCATGCAAGCTGGAGGAATATCTGGAGGAAGATCTGGGCAGATCTGGAGGAAGATCTGGAGGAAGATCTCGAGGAACCTCAGGAGGAAGATCTGGAGGAACATCTGGGGGAAGATCTGGATGAAGATCTGGAAGATGATCTGGAGGAAGATCTGGAGGAAGATCTGGGAGGAAAATCGGGGAGGAAGATCTGAAGGAAGATCTGGGGGAAGTTCTGGGAGAAGATCTGGAGGAAGATCTGGAGGAAGATTTGGGGGAAGATCTGGTGGAAGATCTGGAGGAAAATAAGAAGATCTGGGAGGAAGATTTGGGGGGAGATCTGGTGGAAGATCTGGAGGAAAATCTGAGGGAAAATCTGGAGGAAAATCTGGAGGATGATCTGGAGGAAAATCTGGAGGAAGATCTGGAGGAAGATCTGGAGGATAATCTGGAGGAAGATATGGAGGAAGATCTGGAGGAAGCTGTGAAGGAAGATCTGGAGGAAGATCTGGAGGAAGATATCGAAGAACCTCTGGAGGAAGATCTGGAGGAAGATCTGGAGGAAGATCCGAGGGGAGATCTGAGAGGAGATCTGGAGGAAGATCTGGAGGAAGATCTGGAAGAAGATCCGATTGAACCCAGGGAAAACATCTGGGTGATGATCTGGGGGGAAGATCTGAAACAAGATATGATGGAGGAAGATCTGGGAGGAATAGTTGTGATGAAGATCTGGGAGGAAGATCTGGGGGAAGATCTGGAAGAAGATCTGGATGAAAATCTGGAGGAAAATCTGGAGGATGATCTGGAGGAAGATCTGGAGAAAGATCTGGGAGAAGATCTGGAGGAAGATCTGGAGAAAGATCTGGAGGGAGAGCTGGAGGAAGATTTGGAGGAAGATCTGGAGGAAGATCTGGAGGAAGGTCCGGAGAAAGATCTGGAGGAAGAGCTGGAGGGAGATTTGGAGGAAGATCTGGACGAAGATCTGGAGGAAAATCTGGAGGAAGATCTGGAGGAAGATCTGGGAGGAAAATCTGGAGGAATATCTGGAGGAATATCTGGAGGAAGATCTGGAGGAAGATTTGGAGGAAGATCTGGGAGGAAGATTTGTGGGAAGATCTGGAGGGAAATCTGGAAGAAGTTCTGGGGGGCCTCCTCCTTCTCCTCCTCCTCCTCCACCTTCTTCTCCTTCTCCCCCTCCTTCCCCGGAGGCCAAAAAGGCAACCCTTGTCTCGCCCCTCCCCCCTCCATGCGGAAGCCCCCCGAAAGCCAGCTGCGGGTGTCTCTAGCGGCTCTCCGCGGCGCACTTGGTAATCCCATAGCGCGGTGGTGAGAACATTTTGCGGTGAGTCTGGGGCGACGTGGAGGATGCATTAACTCTCGGATTCATTAACCAGAAGATTTATTAGCCAAGCATGGCCGCAGGGATTGCTTTGGGACAAAAAAAGTGATCTTTGGTGGGGGGATGAAAAGATTCCGATGCCGCTGACCCCCGGACCTCTCCCGGGGCGCAGTCTGATCAGAATTTCGAGGCGACTCGGGCGGAAAGACGGAGAAAATGCCCGGAGGCCCAGGAGGGCCAGCATGGCGGCGGGCCAGCGGTATCGGTTCCTTTTTCCTGCCCTGAACCTTGGGCCAGGGGCGCCTTGAGCAACGCGCAGGGGAGGAGGAGGAGGAGGAGGAGGAGGAGGAGGAGGAGGAGGAGGAGGAGGAGGAGGAGGAGGAGGACCTTTTTCTGACCTGAGCGATATGGCGTCGCCACCTGGCTTAGGGAATCGAGCGGTGTTCCGTGGATGTCTTCAGCGCTGGCAGGGCCAGGAGTCACCGCGCCTGGTGGTGACAGCGTCTGCGGTCGGGAACTTTAGATCCTCCTCCTCCTCCTCCTCCTGCTCCTCCCCCCTCTCACCCCTCCTCGTTCTCCCTCCTCATCCCTCCTCCCTTGATTGAATCCCTCTCTTCTCCTCCTGCATCCTTCTCTTGCTCTTCCTCCTCCCTCCTCCTCCTCCCTCCTCCTCCTCCTCATCCTCCTCCTCCTCCTCTGCAGCCCTCTTGGTCCTGTTCACGGTCG